ATCGTGGTCTATGTATACTTGACAGTAGTATAGAACACCATGGTCTATGTATACTTGACAGTAGTGTAAAACACCATGGTCTATGTATACTTGACAGTAGTATAAAACACCATGGTCTATAATATCACCCCTCTATCCAGTTATACATGTCATTTCAATCAAACTCAGTAGATGATTGTGACTAATCTTAAAGATTATGACAGTGAATTGAAAAATTGGGTGTAAACTAAACATAATTCCTGAGAAAAAAGTTATTTAATTAAATTTGATTTCCCACGAAATAGACAATACTTATCACTGTCAATGTCAATGTCAGAGGCGATGTTCGCATTTTAGTTTGAAAAACATTTGAATGTGATGTCAAGTCAAGTTTGTCACGTAACATCATCTTTTTAAGATTTTCAAAATCGGAAAATGTATTTAAACAAATGCTACCGAGATTATTTGTCATATTCTTGTGGAAACGAGGTTGGATTATTGCAATAATTCATTATATGGTGTAAAGAATTTCCAATTATTCGAAGTTATTAACTTTCAATATGATTTCTCTAGTCCTTTGACACAAATCTGTGTTATGCTCCCTGAAGAAGATATGCAATTAATTGTAAATTTTTAACTCTTATTAAATGTATGGCATGTTCCAATAAATTATATATATATTTTTGCCCCTTTTATACTGTTTTAAATCAGCCTTACAGTACAATATAACGTTTATGTATACACTTTCAGTTTCATTTAATGTATTGCTGGCGACATTTATTTTTAACCAGATATATTATTGGGTGTGTATGAAATAAATTTAAAAAATAAAAATGAATTAATTACAAAAATAAATAAATAAAAACAATATGAAATACATCACAATGAATATCATGTAGCTTATGGGGTTGTGTAAAAGTGGTCTTTTCACGGCAACTGCAAATTACTGTCCTCAACTGCGCTACATCCAAACATGTATACCTCTTTGCCAGGTAAACCTAGACATGTACATCATGTGAACAATTGCAAGTGCAATACAAACATTTTTGTTAAGTTATGTTCACGTTATTAGCTATTAGCGATATTGTGAAGTTGTCAGATGTTGTGAAAGTATATACAAAATCCAGTATTTCACTTAACGCCTATCACACAATTTTTTCCGTCGGTCAACGCCCTACAGACTTGCAAAACAATTAAGAGACACAGACAATGCCATATAATAGTGTGATGAATTCATCAGTTCATTCTGCCAGTCACACTGCGATCTAGAGGATTTCGCTTTCAATGCTCCTGATTCCAATTTATTGTGAGTTGAATGGTCGATGCTAACAATATGAACAGTCGTATTTCACACAGACGCCCTATACACAAAACAACTGTGCCTTGTCATGTCGTTGTTGCTGCTGTCGTTGTTAGCAATTTTACAGCTACGATACACATTACAGACGAGAATCACATCTACTAGTGGAATTACGTCTGAATTGACAGTGTTGTCTGGTTTAAGTCCGTCAACTTGGCGATGATCTATACCAAGTATTAGCATACCCAAACCCTTGGATTATTGCACATAATTGCACAACGTTGAGAACAGAAAAATGGCGACATGGAAAGTGACCATTACAACATTACACTGTGTGTATTCTAGCAGAGATGCTAATATATTCATCCAATTCGTCTTTGACGCTTTTGATAAATCCAGACCAATCAGAATCAAGGTAAAGTTTTGTGATGTAATAACGATACGTGTATATAACATTGTAAGTGAGGTATACCAAAGTGATAACGATACGGGTATATTACATTGTAAGTGTGGTATACCAATGTGATAACGATACGGGTATATTACATTGTAAGTGAGGTATACCAAAGTGATAACGATACGGGTATACAACATTGTAAGTGTGGTATACCAAAGTGATAACGATACGGGTATATTACATTGTAAGTGAGGTATACCAAAGTGATAACGATACGGGTATATTACATTGTAAGTGTGGTATACCAATGTGATAACGATACGGGTATATTACATTGTAAGTGAGGTATACCAAAGTGATAACGATACGGGTATATT